TTCACCGCTTCTGGAGGCAGGTTGTTCCACTGGTTAATTGTTCTAACTGTCAGGAAGTTTCTCCTTAGTTCTAGGTTGCTTCTCTCCTTGATCAGTTTCCACCCGTTGCTTCTCGTCCTGCCTTCAGGTGCTTTGGAGAATAGCTTGACTCCCTCTTCTTTGTGGCAGCCCCTGAGATATTGGAACACTGCTATCATGTCCCCCCTCGTCCTTCTCTTCGTTAAACTAGACATACCCAATTCCAGCAACCGTTCCTTATATGTTTTAGCCTCCAGTCCCCTAATCGTCTTTGTTGCTCTTCTCTGTACTCTTTCTAGAGTCTCAACATCTTTTTTACATCGTAGTGACCAAAACTGGATACAGTATTCCAAGTGTGGCCTTACCAAGGCATTGTAAAGTGGTATTAATACTTCACGTGATCTTGATTCTATCCCCCTGTTAATGCAGCCTAGCACTGTGTTGGCTTTTTTGGCAGCTGCAGCACACTGCTGGCTCATATTTAAATGATTGTCCACTAGGACTCCGAGGTCCCTCTCGCAGTTACTACTATTAAGCAAGGTACCCCCTATACTATACCTGCACATTTGGTTTTTCTTGCCTAAATGTAGAACCTTACTTTTTTCACCACTCAATTTCATTTTGTTAGATAGCGCCCAGTGTTCAAGTCTGTCCAGATCCTCCTGTATCCTAAGCCTGTCTTCTGGAATGTTGGCTATTCCTGCCAGCTTAGTGTCGTCTGCATATTTGATGAGTTCCCCATCTATCCCCTCGTCCAGATCGTTGATGAAGATGTTGAAGAGCACTGGGCCCAGAACAGAGCCCTGGGGCACCCCACTACACACTTCTCTCCATGTAGATGCGGTTCCATTGAGGACCACACGCTGAGTACGGCCGGTCAGCCAGCTACGGATCCATCTGGTGGTGATGCTGTCTAACCTGCATTTTTCTATCTTATCAAGTAGTAGGTTGTGATCTACTTTGTCAAATGCCTTACTAAAGTCCAAGTAAATTATATCCACAGCATTCCTCTGGTAGAGTGGAAGAAAAAAATCTGAAATCCTGTTTCTTTGTGGAGATACCAGCACTAAGGAGATGGAAGCTTTTCTACCTTCTAATTCAGGGGTCCCAAGCCCCTGGTCCGTGGACCGGTACCAGGCCGTGGCATGTCAGCAACCAGTCCGCAGAAACAAGCAAAGCCCCATCCGTGAGATGCAGGCAGCACACAAACCCACACACACTCCAGTCCACGGAAAAACTTTTCTCCCTGGAACCGGTCCCTGGTGCCCAAAAGGTTGGGGACCTCTGCTCTAATTTATCAGATAGTCATATACTGTAAAGAATCCTTAGTGAATCCAGGATGAGAACCTGGAAAAAGGAAGACTTAATATTCAGAAATATTGATGTCTGCTTGCAGATGTCTGTTAAAGGTTTCAAAGTCATATTAACCTAGGTACTTTTGCACTTCCAACTCATAATAAATTTTAAATACCATTCTGAATATAAAACAGATGAGTTACATGGCAGGCTGGGTAAACTGCAAGATGAGTTACATGGCAGGCTGGGTAAACCGCAAGCTATTTNTGCTCAGTATGGCGGAGCTCTTGCAGCCGTCTGACCATTTCTTTAACAACAGAGAGATGAGGAACTGAGAAAAAAACAAACCGAAAACAATCCGAATTGAAATTTGTTCTGCATCCTTGTAATGAGCTTCAACAGAGCCCAAGTTTATTTAAGGTAGATATTTACGCTAAGAAAGAACTTATCCAAAAGCAATTGTTCACAAAGACATGTGTCAGCAATAATGACTCAAGCTACAAAGTTGGGCAGAGAACAGTACAGATGAATTTCCTTCATTTTCATCTTATATTGAAACCCACTGAAAACTTTACCATTCAGATCAGTTTTCCCACCTGAATTCAGTATAAGCACCTGAAGGCAGGACAAGAAGCAATGGGTGGAAATTAATCAAGGAAAGAAGCAACCTAGAACTGAGAAATTTCCTGACAGTTAGAAAAATTAACCAGTGGAACGGCTTGCCTCCAGAAATTGTGGGTGATTTTAAAGAAGAAATTGGACAACAATTTGTCTGAAATGGTATAGAGCAGTGATGGCGAACCTTTTAGAGACCGAGTGCCCAAACTGCAACCCAAAACCACTTATGCATCGTTGGGTGTCGGGTGAGTGTGGCCCATTGGGTGGGTGTGGCCCATTGGGTGGGCGTGGCTGCGGTGGTAACGGTAGACTGGGTGGGACTAAAAAGTTCAATCAATCAATTCCAACTTTGCAAGATTTTTTTTTCCTGCAAGAAGTTGAAATTGACTGATTGATTGAACCTTTTTTTTTTTTGCACACGGCGGCAGAGGCCTAAAGCGAAAAGGTTTTGTAAAACCCAGCTGAAGGCCTAGGACTGGGACGACGGCGCGGTGTCCACAGAGAGGGCTCTGAGTGCCGCCTCTGGCACCCGTGCCATAGGTTCGCCACCACTGGTATAGAGTTTCCTGCTTGACCAGGGGATTGGACCAGAAGAAAGAGCTCCAAGATCCCTTCCAATTCTGTTATTCTGTTATCGTTCCTGGATGTTCTTTATGCAAAATGGACCATCAACACTACCCATCCTCCCAAGTATTTCCAAATTTGCTCTATGGGTCGAGATGCACTCTGCAGCACATGTGGGAATCCTATCTAATGCTATGCAATCGAGCTGCCGGTACAACTAAGGTCTAACTCCTTTTACAGTATTTCCCCACTAATATTTTCCAAGAAATCTCTTCATTCTACCTCTTTCCATTAGTTTAGCCAATATGAATAACAGAATAACAGAATTGGAATGGATCTTGGAGGTCTTCTAGTCCAACCCCCGGCTCAGGAGGGAAACAAATGGCTGTCCAGTCTCTTCTTAAAAACTTCCAGTGTTGGACCACTTACAACTTCTGGAGGCAAATCGTTTCACTGATTAATTGTTCTAACTGTCAGGACATTTCTCTTTAGTTCTAGATTGGTTCTCTCCTTGATTAGTTTCCATTCAATGTGTCTTCAGGTGCTTATACTGAATTCAGGTGGTCTGAATGGTAAAGTTTTCAATGGGTTCACTAAGATGGAAATGAAGGAAATGCAGCTGTACTGTCCTCTGTCCCTTAAATACATTGTAAGATAATTTTTAACAGAGTTTTGTTGCAGCTTCCAAATCTGTCTGTTATTTAATTTCCAGAAGTTCCCTCTTTGATTGCATATTTTTTTGTCATTTTGAATTGGGGAAATAAATGAAAACTGCTATGTAAGAAAACAAGCTTTCTATAGTTTTTTTTTTAAAAGGATCCAACTACCTCCCAAAGGGAAAAAAAAATCCTCCTGAAATATTCCAGCTTCATTCATCTTCATGAATCAATGTTGCCCACTGTGGCCTTCCCCCACCCCCAAAGCTTTCAAAGCCACCCGACCCACCACAAATTTATTTGTCCTTACAAGCGCTATCCAGCTTGGCTCAGTGTCTTCAACTATTCTGGTCACTGATCAAGGCTGATCATCACCAGCTGATAATCCTATACCAATCCAGTGACTGGAATTAATTTCAAGGGTTGACGGTTTGTGTTCAACAACAATTTTCTTGATCATAACCGCAAGATAACTGTAACAGCTATGCAGCTCAGCTTTTATTATGCTGTTCACAACTCCCAAGGATTTTTTTGCATGAGGAGGAACACGTGTAATAAAAAGCAGTTTTCTAGCCAAATCTGGGCATCCCATTTTCTTCTCTCTTACCACTGATGGATTGTTGTGAGTAGCAAAGCATGGGACAGGATCAAATACCTTTACTTCCAATACCATATTGGCAGCTGGCAAAAAGCTAATTCTTGAGTGCTGGCACCACACTTGTCCTCCTGAAATTCACTTTTGGCAGTTCATTTAAGCTTAGTTCTTGGATTGGCTTCAATGAAGGTCAGCATTTGGAGGACTGCTTTATAAAAGTCTTTCTCTTATATATAAACTTTAAATGAAGAATGCCCATAAAAATTTCTGGCATCACAAGAACCTTTGAACACCATCCACTGTTTATGCATGTTCTAATACACATGCTGTACCCCAAACCTGAAGCAACCATGGCTACATCTTGTTTTATATCAACAATCTCTGTGGTACTTCTTAGTACGAATATATTATGTCAAACATAAACATCCACCACTTTCTTTTTTGATTATACAGAAATGTATGTGTTTTTAAAGTGAGTCTTACATTAATCAAAAATACCAAACTAATGTGAATTTATGAATTATGCAAACATGCATTACGGATGAACTAATACATTTTACTTCTGTCTAAACTTACAGAAATGGAAAAAGGGAGAAATATTTTTTCTATTAACATATTTACGTTGGACCAGCTTGCACAGGACAAAATTCCCACATTCATTTTTTTTTCTTTGCAATGAAGAGATCTAGAAATGCCCTGTTAAAAATTATCAGGGTATTATGACCCTATATTCATTATCATGCACTTGTCCTCCTGTTTTTATTTTTTCATGAAACTCTAATCATGTTGACTCTGGTATTTCAGTGTTAAAGAATTTTGCAACCAATAACAATGTATTTATGAATTGGGTTTATAAACATACCTGGAATTTCATTGGCTACAACTGAAGGAGGACTGGACTGATTACTGGTCATTTGCTGGTGATTTATCATATGACAGCACTGTGGAACAGCATTGTTTACCATGTAGAGGGTATCTGGTACATTGGACATTCTAACCATCCGTAAACGGACAAGGTCAGTTTGTTCTACCATCATCTCATCCAGAAGTGACTGAAACAACAAAGGTAAAAGAAATGTTTTGCTCTAATGTACTGATATAAAAAGGTAATAAATACTAGATATAGCCTTCTTTTTAAAAAAAGTGACCATATAATAGTAGATAAGAATAGATAATAAAATATTACATTCCAGAAAGTATAGTTTTCTTTCCTTTATGTATAATTTTATATATTCTTTATATTAAACATGGGCAGCTTCTACTCTTATGACTCACTAATCCTTTTTTTTCATGTAAATCATTCAGATGATTTTAATGGGCTCACTAATATTCAAAGAAGCTACTCTGCTAATGTGGGTCTTAATTCATCAATCTTACAAACACAAACCACCTGCATATTACCTGAAATATTGCTGATAACCAAAAATATCAAAGGATTTCACTGTACAAAGAACAAGGGTTGCAAAAAAAAATCTTCATGTAAAATGTATTTATTTATTTATTTATTTATTTATTTATTTATTTATTAATTAAATTTATATACCGCCCTATCTCCCTTGCGGGACTCAGGGCGGTGAACAGGCGATACTAAAAACCACGAATAAATAAATAGTTTCTGTTTTAAAATCGAATTATAGTGCATTATAGTGCAAACTGTCTTGAATAAATAACGCACAAACAGAAAACAGGATCAGATTTCACACTGTCTGACCAATCTGGGAAACTGAATTGCATCAAAGATCTGGATTATCTCTCCCTACACCTCTGGTGGGCAGAAAGTGGCTGGCAAGCCTTTCTTCTTGAAAGCAGTCCGTAGAAGAAGACATTCACAAAGAGTGTGCAGTTCTTTCTCTTGTAAATAAAAGCACGCAGTCCCTTCCTGCACACCCAGAAGGAAGCTGACAGTCATGGCTCAGTTCTGTTTAGGAAGAGGATGCCTTCCTCTGTCTAGGCAAACTGGAAAGTGTATATATGTATGGGGGTGAAGGGGATGGAGCATGCTCAGGGAAAACTCAAATAGATGAGAAGAGATAATAATAATAATAATGATAAAGTTGGAAGGGACCTCGGAGGTCATCTAGTCCAACCTCCTGCTCAGGCAGGAAACCCTATACCATTTCAAACAAATGGCTGTCCAGTTTCTTCTTAAAAACTTCCAGTGTTGGCGCATTCACCGCTTCTGGAGGCAGGTTGTTCCACTGGTTAATTGTTCTAACTGTCAGGAAGTTTCTCCTTAGTTCTAGGTTGCTTCTCTCCTTGATCAGTTTCCACCCGTTGCTTCTCGTCCTGCCTTCAGGTGCTTTGGAGAATAGCTTGACTCCCTCTTCTTTGTGGCAGCCCCTGAGATATTGGAACACTGCTATCATGTNTTAATATTCAGAAATATTGATGTCTGCTTGCAGATGTCTGTTAAAGGTTTCAAAGTCATATTAACCTAGGTACTTTTGCACTTCCAACTCATAATAAATTTTAAATACCATTCTGAATATAAAACAGATGAGTTACATGGCAGGCTGGGTAAACTGCAAGATGAGTTACATGGCAGGCTGGGTAAACCGCAAGCTATTTGTGAGATGGATGGCAGCATTAATACATCATCTTACCTTAGCTTCCTCCACATATGGTGAGAACAGCCTCGGCCTCACATAAATTCCGGCATTTTTTTGTCGCAGCCACACATTTGACTTTCCCCCTTCTGCTGTTGGCAGCATGTCTGAAGGAGGTGTACTAATGAGACCTCTCTTCATCTTTAAAAGAAAACATCACATCAGAAAGGTAACAATTATTTTTAAGTATAGAAGAACAAACCGTGTATGACTTGATGATAGTCACCAGTAAAGAATAGAACTGTACCTATACAAATTTTAAAAAAACGAGAGCATGTACCCCAAAGCTTCCAAAACAACAATAAATTTTACATAATGATCTAAATCAGGGGTGAGAGATCTGTTCTTTGGTGGTGATTTGGTGATCTGTTGGATATCACCAAATGAACAAGCCCCCTAAACTTGATTGGACTCTTCCCGGCCCATTTTTTTCCTGCATTTTTCTCATGGACAGCAGCATAAAAAGCTGCAGCAGGATTCAAAGGAAACTTTAAAATATACTTACTGAATCTGTCAGTACTTCACTACTCGTAGGCAGGATGTGCTCAGTGCGGACGAACGGTAAGAGAGGGGAAAGGATTTCTTTTAATTCCTCAATATCAAGATCTCGCCTCTTTACACCACGCTTGTTCACACTATGAGCCGTGCCACTCAGTAAATTGGGTTCTGACAAATTGAATAAATTGTTTTACTTATGTGTTCTAATATTTTTTTAAAAAAATTGATTAAAGACATAGTTATTCTAATTTTTTGTTATTTCTTACTTATGAACATTACTTACTGTATATGAAATTCAGGTCTCGGACTAGCTTACTGTAAAATTAACTCAAATAAAAGAACTTCTATATTTATTTATTTTTAAAAATGCTATTGTTAAAAGTTTTTTTTAATGGCTTTAGTTTTTTTTTATTTGGGTTAATTTTTACTGTAAGCTGATCTGAGACCTATTATCATATAAGTAACATTACTGTTACTTACGTATAAGCATGTTCCCTAAAACAGAGATGCTAGAAGCTAAAATTGAGGTAACCATAGGGACTGGAGTTTTCTACTTTTTTGCCCTTAGATTTTTGGAACAGTATTGTTTCCCTTTTGTTTGAAAAGCTTTATTAAGCTTATTTTAATGCTCATCATACATTTTTTCTGACTTCTGTATGAGTGGAAGCTCTGCTGACCAGAAAAGAGAGTCTGGGAGACCCATGCTGATTTATACTTTATTTAGGATTTTAATGTCATAACATCTTAGAATTGCCTTCTCATCACTGCAATATACGTTCAAAGCTGACACCAGCCAGAACATCAAACAAGTCAAAGAAGCAGTGCAAGACTGGAAGATGTGGAGAGACCTGGCCCATAGAATTTCCAAGAGTCTGTCATGACTGAATGGATAACATTATCATCACCATCATCACACCATCACCATCACCATCGTAATATATAGTACACCGGCCAAATATATGGACTACATTTAAATGTGGTGGCTTGGTAAACTGGACTATCAGGCATGTACTGAGGTTTTTCCTTCAATATTCAAATTTAAAGAAAAAGCATGATACAGGTAGTCCTCGACTTAAAACTGGTTGTTTAACGTTATGACATATTGGAAAAAAGTTATTTACAACATGTCCTCTAAGTTATGACTGCTGGATCACACCCATAATGATGTAATCCCATTTGGGGTGCTTAGCAACCAGCTTGCAAAATCCCACAGCTAGGTGCTCGTGTTTTCTGACTTTTTTGCCATTCACACTTAGATAAAATGGATTCACACTTATGAACATTTGGTTTGCTTAATGAACACATGGTTTGTTTAACAGCTGCTGAGACCTGCTTAACGATGATCATAAAAAAAATTACAAAATCAAGTCCAGTCAGGTGGTGCCTCAACTTATGATCGCAGTGACTTATGACCAAAATTCCAGTACCAACTGTGGTTGTAAATTGCGCAATACTCTACACACATTTATTAGCTAAACTAGCTAGCAAAACACACACATACACAACATAAACAGATGAAAATATAAAGAATTTCAGAGTTGCAGTGGATAACTGCAACATATATCAATGTGCCAAAAGGCCTGCTGCTCTTAATAGACAGGGTACTCCCCCAGGCAATGGTGATATCACTAGCAAATCCTTTCACCATGGAAGCACTTCGGTGCTTCTGACACACAAGTATTAGTAGTATTGTAGACAAAAGTGGATAGAATGAATGAATGAATGAATGTCAGCTTCCTAAGCACTGCATTTCATACTAAAAAGCATGTTTCAGTCAGCATTTAAAGATTAAATATGAGAATTTCCTTATTAACAATGAAACATAGTATCTATTAAACACCTACCTCGATCTGCAATTCTTTTTATTAACTGATGTTCACCCCATTTCACAAGGTATTTCAAGATATCTTGTTCACTTGCCTGTTGAAGAGGGATTTAAAAGCATAAAAACACATAGTCTGAGGTCAATCCACAGAACCATCAAATTAACTTTTAGGCCAAACAGTGCTTATTCTAACGAAGTTTAGATTAATAATAAATTACAGCCAATTAAGCTCCTTAATTTCAAAGATTTATAACACAATATTCTATTGTTGCTCACCGCATTTCAGTCAAACTCCTACAGTTTTTATTACTAGCACTGCTAATTCTACAAAGGAACTTTGTTACAGTATTCTACTTTTCATTACGTGTATGTGTGTGTAAATTGTGTCTTTTAAATGCAGATGGACTGCTGAATTTTGTCCTGATTGGTTTGTTCTCCTATGTTGTGCCATATATTTATGAAGTAGTTGTTTTGTTTCTCCAATATTAGGGTATTTAAAAGACAAAGGCATTTAAAACACAAAGGCCACTCTTTTTTGAGGACAGCAAAATCCACATTTTGGACAGACCGTTGGTTTGAAAGAGGGGTCAAAAAGGCCATTTATGTCAAAATTGCACAGCCCTCTTTCAACAGAAGGGGAGGGATATGATATCATCTTTCTACTCAGGTGACTCTGATGACACAGATAAACCTCCAGGTGGCCTCAACGACTCTCTTAAAGAATGCAAATGACCAGCTGTCTGCAAAGAGTATAAATCCTTCCATTCCCTACCATCCAGTCAGAGTTAAAGAAGCTTCTTGGATGAGAAGTGAAATGTCTTCAAAGAAAAGCAAGAAACTCCAGCTGCCTAGTGAAAAAGCACCTTTGGGATAATTATGACCTGGATGACTGAGAATCTCCATAGACAAGTATATGAACCAAAGTTTCCAATTTTCATGCTATATAATCAGAGCAAAAAAGCATACAAAGATGTATTTTTCAAGGTAATATTTAATGCAGATGAGCTTTTTTTGAATTAGGTAACAATTATCAATGGAGTTTTTTAATTTACTGAACTAGAACAGGAGTGTGGTGGAATGAAAAGTAGTCAAAATTAAGGAGATTTAGTATCTTTCTAACAAGAAAACTGTATTTCAACGAGGAGCCTGGGTTTCCCATTCTTTTGCCACAAATATATGTTGTCAGTTGTGAGACTACTATATAATTTCTATAAACCTCTGAAAAGGCAAGACCAAAATTAAGTCTAAAAGAGTTTCACTTAAAATAATTTGCAACTGCTTCTAGGCTATTATTAAGCTTTCAAGCAATAGTTTGGGCTGGGTTATATGCCAGCAAAGGCGAATGCTTTCCTTAATCACTACCTCTGCAAGCAACTTGTGTGTATAAATGCCAGAATAAGAGAAGAGGAAGAACCCGTTCTGCACATAATAATTCAAGCAAGGTTTTGCTTCTTCTTCTGTTTCTCTCCAGTGGTCAAAGCTTTGGGATCTGCATGCTTCTATTCCATACCACTAGTAAGAAAGCCTGATTCGGCACTTAATAAAAATAATTGAATAGGAAGACACAATTACCTGTAAGTAGTCTGACTGGATAGCAGTTTGCAAGTGGTCTTTGCAAAGTTCATAAAAGACATCTGAAGTCATGACTTGGGAAAACTCCTCACAGAGGAAATGCAGTGCTTGGCGGTGTACCCACTTGGAGCCATAAGCCTGGGAGCTCCACTTGAGAATGGCAATTAAGGTTTCCAGTGAGATGCTCTCGGCAATAATATCCTCACAGCCTACACAAAGAACACATGCCGTTTAATGAGGGTTACCTGTTCAAGAACTGCCATTATTCAGCAGAAGTTCTGTGATCAGAAAGTTTAATAAGTAAAACCACAACTGTCTTTTTAAGCAAAGTTCTTTTAAAAACTGGCCTGCCAATATCTGTTATTTATACAGCTGCAATAGGCATAGTGTCTCAAAAGTAACTACAGGTAGTCCTCCACCACAATTGGGACCAGCAACTCCCAAGTGAGGTGGTCACTAAGTGAAACTGTGACTGTGCTTATGATTTTACTTCAGCTTTCTTTTGCTTTGAAGGCCTGCCTAGGTTGTTAATGTGAGGACTAATTGCAGAGTTACTTTTTCATCACTGTTATAACTACAAATGGTCACCCTACACTTAATGAGGACTTTCTGTAGTCAAATTAATATTCTGGAAACGGCAGTTTAGTAACTTTGTCAGGATTCCCCCCCCCCCCCCCGGTTACTATCAGAGATCATGTAACTGAGGAAATCAAAACTAAATCCAGATTCTACACAAACGGAGTAAATACAATGATCGTGCCTCCTACGGGGCAATTTAAAATATCCATCTCCATCCACATGTGTACACACACGTGCACACATACACACACACATAAACTCTTTTCCAGGATTCCAAATAAGCCAAATCATCCACATAACAGTTTGTTTTTCACAAAACCACATTAACCAGTAAACATAATTAAGAGTTGTTTTTGCTAAATGTGCTTAGTAGATCATTATGTACAATCTATATACTACTGAACTCGGATTCCTATAATCTTTAACTGAGTGAAATGGTACGCTATAGTGTAACACATTTTCAACCGAGGTACTTCAAATGGGCTAACTTCCAAAATGTATCCAAAATCCAGAGCCCATGATTCCTCTGGAAATGAAAGTTGTCAAATTTTATAAAACATTCTATGATATAAATAGTATTATAAAGCAGTTTATGACATAATACAAAATGTCATAAAACATTTCCTTTGCTGATGTTTGACTATGATATACAGTTCAGCATGAGTTATTTTCAAGGCAGACATATATCTGAATGTATCCCAACTTTTCCAGTGAGGGCTGTGTATTAGAAGCTGTGTCACTGTTGAAGACACGGAGGAATCCAGTAAGGAAGCACCTTTGAAAGGATGACTCAATGGGAGGGAGGGAGGGAGGGAGGGAGGGAGGGAAGGAAGGAAGGAAGGAAGGAAGGAAGGAAGGAAGGAAGGAAGGAAGGAAGGAAGATTTCCAATCTTCACTGCCTGCTTCCCACAAAGAAATTCAGTGGGGAAGCCAACAGGAAGTTGAATGTTGCTCCCATTGCTACTGAATTTTTTTTTGCTTGCCTGCAGAGGTTGTGTTTCTCTGTTTAGGTAAGGAAGTATCTCTGAAACAATGACCCACTGGGTCATGGATTTTCTATTGAATAGTAAAAGTACATTTTAATGCCCACTTAATGCTTCAGTAGAGCTAATATTTGCTACGGCAGAAAACATGTCCAGTAGAATCAATAAGAAACAGAACAAAGAAAGTTAATGTTTTCTTAGCTATTTAATTCAGCAATCTAACCTCCCCATTTCCCACATGCTGCCTGTCTAGACTTTAGGATCTGGCAGACGTAATCCTCCACAGATTTGCCTCTATTGCCAGGAGAAGCATCTCCTACACTCAAGCTGAGCTCTGCCTCCAACACATATGTTCCCACCATTAGTTGCAAGAGGCAGATTGGTCCATTTCTCCATAAAGAACCTAATTTTGGATCCTCAGCTATACCAATATGGAATAAATCACCACTTTTTCTGGGGAAATCAAAACATGGGTCACAAAGAAAAAAAACCCAAGGCTCACTGCAGTGCTTTATTATATAAATCAGTGTTTCTCAACCTTGACAATTTTAAGGCATGTGGACTTCAACTCCCAGAATTCCACAGCCAGCAATGCTGGCTGTGGAATTCTGGGAGTTGAAGTCCACATGCCTTAAAATTGTCAAGGTTGAGAAACACTGATATAAATAGTACTGTGCGGGAGGAGACCTCACTAAAAGGATAATGAGAGCTGCCCCTCTAAACCTCAGAGCTGCCCTCTAAACCAAAGAGATGCACTGATATTTATATATTTCAGAAAAAGGAGAAATGATGCATGGATAAATATATATAAGTAATAAACTAATACATTTCAGGTTACCTATTATCATTCTGCTGTCTACTATCTTCAAAGGAAACAACTGTCTTAGCCAGAAGAAACAAATCAAAATTTAGGGTGCCAAATGTTAGAAAGAAGATATCATTCATTGGCATCTTGAGGATAGATTTATAGGTTGCCAAGGGAATGTTCTGGTAAGGTTTACAACAGGCTGGTGTGGAATTAGATGATAAGCCAGCCCCAAGGCTCTTGCAAATTTCTTACGTTTCAATTTGATTTGAATAATCCCATTCAACTGAAAATTTACAGATAGTCTTCAGCTTATAACCGTTCACTTAGCAACAGCTAGAAGTTACAATGGAACCCCAAAATGTATTTACAATCTGGATTCGAGATTCCTCCCTCATGGTCACAAGATCGAATTTCGGGCACTTGGGAACTGGCTCACATTTACAGCCATTCGTAGAGACCCATTCACATGACCAAGATTTATAATGTTTTTGCCTGATTTTTGGCAAAAACCACTTATTGCACACAATGGATTTGCTTAGAACTGCCACAAAAATCAGTTCAGTCACATGGGTGCCTTGACTTACAACCATCATAACATACAATGGGAATTCCAGGCTCCATTATTGTTGTAAGTTGAGGACTGCCTGTATTTTCCTCCCAGTATCTTCTCCCCTTTCACTGCTTCATAGGAGGAAAAATTACTCTATGGAAATTTAACTGGCTAGGGAGATATCCAGGGAAGACATGCATGGTGAACTCAAAAAGCAGAACTATTGACTGCAGCAGAATGAAGAGCTGGTAAGTAGATCAGCTCTTCATAATTCCTCTCCAGATAAGGAGAGGATTTGAGACTGCCCAATTTGAGATTGTCCCATATAGTTGCTTCTTGTGAGGAGACCATAAGGCAGTGGTCTCTGGTGGGTTTAGAGCTCTAGGAAACAAAGGAATAGCTGTCTTCATCAAACCACAGTTGGCGCCTTCAAAAGGACATTGGGTTTGCATACTTTCTTTTTGTAATGGAATTTGTGGATGACCTTGGAGAACAAAAGGAAGAGATGCTGCCTACTACACAATCAGACAAGAGATGTAGAAGCCCCCAGCTGCTTAACAGTCAGAGAAGGAAACTTAGGAAATCCTAATAAATCAAGCAATTAAAAATAATCTCATTAAGTTTGTTCTTTCAGACCTGCCGGATTCTGTTAATATAACTTACAAAATAAGGACTTCTTGACTTAAAACTATTTGTTTGTAACCATTGAAAGTTACAATGGTCCTGAAAAAAGTGAGGCACGAATCAATGTGCAGTTGATAGATATATTCAGAAGAATTCAATTATAATTGACATAACTTATATAAATATACTAAAAAATCAGTTTAATGTAATGAATGCAGAATTGCTAAATGAAAAGTGCTTTCTTTCATTCCCTCATGTTGCTCTATTCTTTTATATATCACAAGGGTTGACACATGGTTTAGGGAACAAAAATAATAACTCCACAATCTTCAGATTTTACCTCTATAAACAAGCAAGACAATCATGTCCTTGTTTCTATTCTATATAAGAATAATATGGACTGTTTTTCACTCTACTGCATCTTGGCCTTGAGATTTAGTCAAGTTGGCAGAACAAAAAGAGATCCACCAACCTTTATATAAGTACAGTGAGCTAAGGCAGCACAGAATCCTTTTGTCCCCTTCTTCTGAATATGGAAATAGAATACATTGGGCTCTTGAAATTATTCCTTATACAGTACAGTAATGATTCCTAAAAAATGTTTACCAAAGTTTTCAGGCAATAGCTTTACACAGGGGACAGATGAACATAAATATTTTAAAAACTCTACACCAAATCTATGTAAATGTACAGGGTTCAAAATTATTTAGAAGCAGATACAAATTTAGGTTAATTGTTTGTAGTCCTTCAAAAGTCTCTTCTGCCTCGTCAGTCAAGACCTTATGTTTTGTTTTAAAACCATCCCTACTGATTACTTAATGTCCATCAAGGCTAGCCAAAACCACTAAATATTTTGTATATACAGCACAAACACATTTCAACATTTAAATTTCAATTCAGATCATCCAAAAAAAATCAATATAGTGCATTATTTTTAATTCATCTTTTACCAATGTGTTATAAGCATACTAGAAGAAAGAAAATATGAAGACTAATAATAAACTTGTAGGTTTTAAATCAAATTCAGTCTCATCCTTGTCATACATATTGCATTCTACACAAATTAAGCCAGTGCAGAATACAGAAGTATGCCAAGCCCCAACAGACCTTTAATAAATAAGCTTGTCAAGCTGCAGAAATGCTTTTTCACAGTTGGATCAGTTCTATTAAAAGTTAGCAAATCACTAACCTTTTCATTTGTTCCCCACTTTTTGCGGGTACAGCTGTAATGAATTCTTTTACTACTTTTGGATCTATGAACACGAAGAGTGCTATGTCATCAAATGGAATCATAATTTAATATATTCTTAGGTCTTTGATTTTCTGGAGACTAACTAGAGAATTGACAGAATATTTGCTCCTCTCTATGAGAAGCCCAAGCTATTTTGTGAGTTCTTTTGCTATTTTGTAAATTAGGGTCCCTGGTAATAATACAATTGGACTAAGTAGTATGTTGGGCTTACATATTTTTGCAAGTATAAATATACCTTTTGTGAAGGTAGGAAATCTTTCCATATTGAGAGGCCAGAATTAACATTTTTAGATAGGGCCAGGGCAGTTATTGGTAATGCCATGCAGCATTTTCTTTTCCTTCCAGATTGCAGGACATGGAATAAGGAAATCACATTTACAGAAAGATAGATTTTGATTGAATGTTAAAAAAAA